ATAAAATGTCCAATACCTCATCAGTTTGGAAATAAAACCGTATAGCATGTCATATCCAATTACTTCATTTGAAAGGGCATATAGTAATATGCAATGACATACAGGGTGGCGCATCGAAAACGAAACAGACGCATTTACTGGCAGCTCAGTTTTTTTTTTTTTGGAAAAACGCTCAGACTCGTCGATTTTGTTTTCGAGGAGGACATAAGTTTGGCAAAAAATTACGTTAACACGTGCAGCCCTCTGGGCGGGGGTGACACCAACCCTAAAATCTTAAATGAAAAGGGGGGTCGAGTGATACCTTATTTTAAAGGTCTTTCAATTCCCTTTATAATGATGTAAAACACATGAGCTTCAGTTCAGTAGTTTTGATGATTTATTGACTTAGAGCTTAAATAAAACTAATACATCATCATTAGTGGAGATCAATCCATGTGGCAGCAAAGTAACTTAAAAATGAAGAATCAACTGACCCGTTAGGCAAGTAAATGTTGAAAATGGCCACCATGACTCTCCATGCAATAATGAAGATTTTGCTCAACACGTTGCCGCACATTTTGCAATATTTGAGTTATCGCAGGTCTTCTAATGATATTGGCTGAGTAACATAGATTTTGCTTTTTAAATGACCTAACATAAAGAAATCCAAAGGTGATAAATCTATCGATCTTGGGGGCCATTCAATGGACCTCTTCTACCAATCCATCGATCTGGAAACGTCTAAATATTGTCGAACAGGTAATACGTAATATGGTGGGGCACCATCCTGTTGGAACATCAACCTATTCGCAATGTACCGCCGATCATTCTGATTTTCAATTATGGCTGTTAGTGCAGGATCTATGGCGTCTTCCAGTAATTTCAAATACATTTCACCAATCAAATTTCCAGGTAAGAAAAAAGGACCAACTAAATGATCGCCAAAAATACCAGCCCAAACATTTAATTTTTGTGGCTGCTGTGTATGAACCTCATGATGAATTCTTGGATTAGAATCGGACCAATATCGGCAGTTATGACGATTTACTACGCCATTTAAGAAAAAGGAACATTCGTCGGAAAAGCAAGTGTTGAATAAAAAATATTTTAAATTTAGCTACAGGTTCTAGAAAATACATATTTTCGATGCACGTTACTGTTCTCATGTCGATCATTAAATATGTCTGCTGTTCTATTAGCGCACTGATTATTTCCGAAAAATATTTCGATAATTTCAACTCTTTTTGCTGTGGAATATACCATGGTTAATTTATGTAATAAACTGTTACATGTTATTTTAGCAACAAAGTTTGGTCAAATCAATTGCAAACTATGTACTAAATCCCTATTTAAAATAAGAAATAACCTTTTTGCCACAAAAAAACGCTCTAATAGCGATTTTCAACAACAAAATGATAAACAAACCATGGGCGTAGTGAGAAAAGCATTTACTTATTAAGTAAATTCTTTTAGTCAAATTTCTTCTGAAAGTAGTACAAACTAATCTGATGTACCTATTGAAGTCTACTTTAAGCTTTAAATCAATAAATCTTCAAAACTACTGAACTGAAGCTCATGTATTTTACATCATTATGAAGGGAATTGAAAGACCTTAAAATAAGGTATCACTCGACCCCCCATTCCATTTAAGATTTTAGGGTAGGTGCCACCCCCGCCCAGGGGGCTGCACGTGTTAACGTGATTTTGTGCCAAACTTGTTTCCCCCTCGGAAACAAAATCGAAGGGTCTGAGCGTTTTTCCAAAAAAAAACGCTGAGCTGCCAGTAAATGCGTCTGTTTCGTTTTCGATGCGCCACCCTGTATAATGCATTCTATTAAAGAGACAAACGTAGCTTCCAGGTCAGGAGCATTATGTTGGCTACAATTTTTGTATGTAGCTCTTTTTAGATATCATAACGGAGTTATTGACCGACTTCTCACTGCAAAATTAGTATACATGTATATACGAATCTCATGTATGTCTACATGAATCAAACCCATTATACCTTGAACTGTGATTTTAATGAATATCACACCCGGAAAAGGTAGGAAATAAGAACTCACTCAATAAGACTGCAAAGATGTCATATTTTATTGAACTAGCATGCACCACTGTTCTTTAATAGATTATGAAAAAACAAGAGAAGCTCCAAATTATAGCTCTGAAACCAAATAGTTTTTGATAAATTTCGACTCATTAGATGAATCCATGGATTCTATATCTGTATTTGATGCAAATTTTATTGGCGTCCTATTTGTACCTTAATGTACTTTATTTTAATATACTATATTTCCACTTTATACTTTATAATTTTATACCTTTCAACCTGAAAATAAATTGATTGATTTATTGACTGATAGACGAAGTGGAAGTAGGAGCATTTTTCCTACTCCATTTTTTTTTATATATATTATAAATGTTAGATGTCCCTCGATATGGATTTCAAACCTCAGTGCAAATTTGTCATTTGAATCAAGCTTTTCTGTAAAGCTCACTGATTTCGAGTTATAAGCGGATTGATGCTTTCGAGGTTACCAAATGTTCAAATTAATGTTCCTCTGCAAGACCTGACATGCATTTTGGGTTTAGTCTACCTTACTGCTAATTGTTATTATCGGGCTATGGGCCACTCGCGCCTCCCTCTAGCGGACGGAATATTGGTCAACATTAGACAAAAACTACTAAGACCCTTGTTCGATTCAAGTAACCCAAGCAAGCATTTTGGCGAAAAATTTGTTCTTGTATTTGTTTCAAAGACATTGTTTGAGCACATTGTTACAAGATTACTACCAGGAAATCCCTAAATTAACGCCAAAAACTGCCATAACGGTCACTATGAAACTAAGTACTTTTCAGATTATTCTCTCAACTCCAATGAGTAAAAACTCATCTGTTCCTCCATAGACTGAAATATCTCATATTTCCAAGAACTCAACTTACTGCGGCTTCTAATAATTAAAGCGGCATTGTTTGAGGCGCGAATAATTTTAGGGAGATATTAATTCAGTTGTTAACGCACAAAACGAGAATTTGCGGAATGTGAGAGTGTTTTGTGCATTATTTTACGAAATATTTGCCACCACCCTTCACTGAGGGGACCCTAAATACCGTGGGCGAGGCTTGGTCATTACAATGTTATAATGTTACCATAACAGTCGGGAGTTTTAGGGAGTTAGCAATGTGGAACGAAAATTTGGAAACATAAAATTGATGGTTGATATCAGCAGGCGGGAGAAGTTGGTATTATTGAATCCACAAAAATTTAAAGGAATGTTCCCATTTGGAGGTCTATCCCGAAAAAACATTCTGATTACGAATAGTAATTATCCTGCCGTTTTTACTGCCTACGCCACTGCCGTCGAGGATTTAGATGGAGGTTTCACACCAGGTTGCTACTATGCTAAGGATGAAAAATCTTTGTAATTTTTGGAGATCGGTTCATAGGTTCATTATCTCCGGAAAAAAAATTGTAAGGGTTAAAGATTCGGGTTGGTGGTTATATGAGTTATGGTGCATATATCATACATCATAGATCTTCCCGTACGTTTGCTCTTAAGACTTGGAAAAATATGAAACGGTTATGTCATGTCTAGGTCGCACTTGCCGTACGCTACAAACTTACATTGATACGCAAAAAATCTTGTCCGCGCCTGCCGCAGTACCTCTCGAGCTGGCCAGCATACCATGTCTGACGTTGTCTTATAGTCCATACTTCCAGTAAGAGCAGAAAAGAAATTCCCAGATCGCAGCGTTATCAAATGGGTGGGGACTATCGGCTAATATATATAGAATGTGTTTGGTCACGACATACTGACATTTAAGGGGGGTATTTTTCAGCTATTTTTATCGACAAATCCACACCCCTACAATGTCCTACCTCACCCCCCTTGAAATGACAGCCATTTTTATTTTTACGTTACGATTACGCTAGTGCGTGTATGAAAATTGTAATAACTGAGAACATAAGAGTCACAGAATGATAAATTTGGTATCATTTGAACGATAACATGTTGTTCTAGCGATTATTGAAAAACGAAGCGGCTACCAAAAAATTTACCTACCAAATTCACAGTCCACAAAAGCTTTTCAATCTCCCATAATATAGCGGGTATATTTGTATACCTTTATTATTTTTTAAAGTGCAGCGGGAATTTTACTGTAAAAAAAGTATAATTACAAGTATCAAGAACAATATATATTTAATGATGATTTTGTTCTAAACAATGTCTTCGTTTACCTTATTTTGATAGTCAGCCAAGAGGGGCAATATTTACATTATTCAAGTTTGTCCATAGGAGTGCTAAGCAATAACATAACATGTTTGTCCATCTTAATGTGATTATCCCACAGCCTATTAATCTCAATCTACAAATGTGGACGATGGCATGTTATCTCCCAAAGGATGTCCTCAAATGATGAGTATATTATGTAGTGGGAAATCCCGTTAAAGCTAATTGCCTATATTAAGCTGTCGAGTGTGCTCCTCGGAAGTAATAAATATGACAAACTGCATTAATAATAGTGCAGCTAATAGCTATTAGTAGTCTTTTTGCCTTTGGTTCGTCGAGGGTGAAGACTCAACATAAAGAAAATAGTGTGTCGGATATAAGAGCATGCCAAAGTTTGACGCCGGAATACAGTTGTCAGCTATCAACAGGTAGAGTACGCTAGTCACTGGTACAAGGGCGGCAGTATCAAACAATCTAATGTACGGAAAATGGTAACTAGAAGTTGGTAGCGATCTGATGTTTTTGGCTACTTTAGGAACAATAAATTTCTGACAGTCCCGTCATTAATTTACTTGGATGACTGTATTAGGCCTCGGTAGTCAGAAGTCCTTTGTTGAGCCACTTCCTGTATTGTCTGAGTCACCAGTTTGGGTCGTGGGATACAATTATATAATTTCAAAGCCCATTCCGGTACTGGAAATTTGCTATTGTACATCCAACCCTAAAAAAGGATCTATGCCGTACCCTTACAACTGCAGACCTATAGCTCTGCTTTCTGTTACAAATAAGGTAATGGAAAGGTGCATAAATCGGGAGCTTCTAGACTACCTCGATCGCCTCGGCTCAATTAGCGACAGGCAGTACGGTTTTTGGCACCAGCGATCCACGGGGAGCATCCTAGCTTACGTCACGCAACTGTGGAGTAAACTCATCCAGTTTTGTAGTGAGGCACATGTCGCTAGTCTTGATAACATGAACGCGTTTGATCAGCAGTGGCATACTGCACTTATATGCAAACTTGTATCCTATGGGCTCCCAGAGACGCTTGGCAGATAGGTGGGGCTGACTTCCTCTCTGGCGACAAGATTTCCGTCGTAATTGGCGGGCTTTCCTCTTCTGACAATGTCAATGCCGTTGTTTCCCAGGGATCGGTCTTCCATTTGGAGAACAAAATAACCAATTCATCGGATTAACAAAGTTTCTTTAAGCGCCTCATAGCAGCTGCGGTGCCCTGGTAGAAAAAAATGATTCTCTTTTTCAACGTCCACCCTTTCTCCCATGTCGATTTTCCGATACGCCGATGACGCGGAAGACGTCGTTTTGGACCGAAGAAAAGAAAGGTCTGAAGAAGAGGGCGGAAGCAGTTTGGGGACGGCGGCGGCGGTGGCACTCTTGCGGCCTTAGCGGCGGCGGCGTCACGCGGCATGTATTGTTGGCGGCAACTGGTGTTGACACGATGATAAAACCGTTCCCGAGATTTGTGCCACGTCATTAATGACCCACCGACTCAGACGAACGGACGACGATTTCTTATTCCTCCCTCATAGGGTTGGAAACAGGGACGTGGTACGTGCGAGGAAAGAGAAGGAGCATGCTTATAGTCTAAGATACACTTGAATCTGCTGATATTTGTTTTTTTTTATGAATGATAAATAATAGTAGAATAGATTACAGTAGAGTTTCCTGGCCAATTTCATCCGCAACCTCCTCTTTTTAGAGTGTGTTTGGTCGATAACTCTGTTATTGCACATAGTATCCAAAAAAATGGAACATAAACATTGTAGCCCGCAGCATTATTTTAAACATAGCTTTTTGATATAACATAAGATAGGGCTCTATTTCCATTTTCAAATTGTTGTTATTGGACAATTTATTGAAAAAAGAAAGACTCAACTCTGACAGCACGCACCTACGCAACTGTTATAGCTAATGTTTCGTCAAAAAATTTTATTATGCTATATTATATTCCTATCGACCTACTTTCTCATTTTTTAAACAGTTTATACGTGGTCAAACACGTAGAATGAACAATTTCTCAAAAATTTTAAATAGAACCTGTGCATGTTCACATTCCTTGATTCCTCTTTTTCCAGTGCTTTTTTTTATACAGCGCTTCTGGAGTTTTGTACAACCAGTGTTTGGGTTACAGCTAACCGTTTGTAAATCAAATGTCAAGACGACTGAACAATATTATAATAGCTTTCAAATTGAAAAATAGCATTTAGTTGGTAATGGCCGATTGTTAGAATTGGCAATTTACACAATGGTCTAGAATCTAGAACACCAAAAAATCTGACAAAAGGTTTTAGAAATTAATGGAATTCATCATGAATTTGAAAGTGCTATGTGTCGAAAAGTCCAAGATATCTCAGTATGGATTTTACTAAAGAAGCTAAAATATTTAATAATAATTAAATTTTAATAATGAATATGTATCTTGATTGTTATATTCACGCACACCGTGGGTTGAATGTATCATTACTTTTCTGTCACTATTATTTAAAAGGGTTCTTAAGAAGGTTCCGCCCTCTGTCCCCATTGGGGTTAATTATATTTTAGCACCTTGAAGTAGTGCCAGATAAAATAGAGGATCAGATTTTGCTAATAATAGTAAAAGCTCGTATCGACTCTTTGCTATGTTACGTTGAATTACCTTCTTATCCGAAATTTTGAATCAAACAGTCTATGTGATACCGAAAATAGTCATATTGCAACAATTCCTCTTAACGAGCAAAGAACTGTTACTGCGGATTGGTATACCACCATTTGTTTGCCAAAAGTCATCACCGAGCTTCGAAAAATCAACCCCGAAAGAAAAATCATCCTCCACCAAGACAATGAAAGCTCGCACACAGCCCAAAAAACAAGGCAGTATTTAGCGGAAGAAAACGTGGAATTATTGGACTATCATCCATATGGTCCCGATCTAAGTCCTAGCGATTTCTTTACTTTCCCGGAAATTAAAAACAGACTGCGTGGTCAAAGGTTCCAGTCACTAGAAGAAGCAGTTGACGCATTCAAAAATGTCGTTTTGGATCTGCCGGCAAACGAGTGGAGTAAGTGCTTCGAAAATTGGTTCGAGCGCATGCAGATGTGTATTAATCTTCTTCGAGAATACTTCGAAAAACAATAAAGTCATTTAAAACTACCTGCCGTGTTGTTTTATTTCCATATGCAAAACTTAAAAGACATCCCTCGTATATCATATCGTCATATCGTATTTTCTTGATTGTTGTTTGAAATATAATATTGCTATGATTTTTTGAAGATTCCTTTTTGTACGGCAATCACTATAATATTATAATAATCATAATATCTACTATTAAACGTCATAATAGCAACTGATTCCAAGTATACGACGCCATATTTTTCTGACAGCAGATTTTCAATCAGCAACTTCAAAATTCCTGCTGTACCAAATCTCGTGAGGATGCTACAGAAGTTGTATTTTTGCCAGCTTTTCGGGTGTTCTAGACGTGCGAACAATTATTTACAGTATACGTTTTTTTACTTCTGCCATATATCTGACAACAGCGACCTCATTATCTACTAGTTTAAAATACGTATATCGAAGAAGCATGTCATTCCTGCCAAGAGGGGGTATTACGGGGCTAATATTTGGAGAGTCTCACACTTCGGTCTGTTCGATTTCATCAGTATTTTCCTAGAACGAAAAGCGTTCTCATAATAATTTAATTCACATGAGCCAACCAGGTATCAATTCAATGTAACGGCATTTCATCAGTACCTACGTAATTGACTGATATGAATGCTTTCCACCAGCACCTGTGGAGAGCTGGAGAGGCAACTGACCAAAAATGGAATTAAACGCGGTTCAAAATAGTGCTTGATCATCCCCAACGACAGGTCGAATAGCGTTTTCGACAATTTAATGGCTGCATAAAACTGGCGTCTGATAGAGAAATTCTGGCGCAACATCAAATATAATAAAGATTTAGCACTCTATCCATCTTAACAAAAACGTAGATTGGCTTTCATTCGAGAACTGCTGCCTATGAATTACGGAATAGGGCGCTCTCCTAACGTAATACGAATCTGAAATCGATATACAATACAGGAGCGTTCTCGATATTTTATGTGTAACTCCTGTGTTGGAAATCTGTATTCTCAACAGTATCATTATCAGCCAAGGCAGATCCTAAGAACCTTGGTACAACGGCTGACATTGCTGATAAGATTTTTAGTTACTTAAGGGCAGTAGAGCTAGGGGAAGCCATGTTCCAGATTATTTAAACTATGAAAAAAAGGAGTAGTTACACCGGCCAGTTCTTGATGTACAGAGGTCGACAGAGACACAATAAGACGCCATAGGGGTAGAAAAAAAAATCATATTACAGTTCGCTCATTAAAATTAGAGAGGCTAGAGAGCTTTAGGACGTATTGTATGTATGTGTAAGGATATACAGGGTATTACAGAATGTCAGAAAAATTTAAAGGCAGGTGTAGCATAATTATGTACTACTAATTTCTGCGAAATGAGTCACCTTTTTTCAAAGTCACAGTGATTTCATGTGAAGGCCGTTAATTTTTTACAGGCTGAAAAGGATAAGTTTGCTAACCGTCTCTGTATCTATGATCCACAGCAGACAGCGCTGTTTCATGCTTAACAATTCATCAGTGCGGTAAACACCTAGCCTCGAAGAAGGACGAACGCGTAACTGACAAGTGGAGATGGTATGTTGAAAAACTCGAAATATTTTGCGCAATTTGGCTAACGGCACCTACCGTCATTCTATACGATGAAGAAGACAGAGGACATTTACGCCTTGTGGCTAGTAACTTGTACACGTTCTGCGCAATGCATAGAAGGTGTCGCACCAGAAATTCACTGTCAATTTGTCAAGAAGCAGGAACTCTAAATAGGTAGGACATGTTTGCTTTCCGCCTCTGTAAGCCATAGACAGCGATGTTTCGTGCTCACTAGAAACTGTTTAGTGCGGAATAGACATAGTCTTGAAGATAGACGAACGGGAAGCAAACACGTGGGAATGGTATTTAAAAAAAAGGAAAGCAAATATGTTTTATACATGTATGAAAGGCGATTGCACGTTTGATTTGTGGATACTTAGTATTCCGACTTCTTGATGGGTACACCGTGATGCGACATCTTCTGTGCAAACCGCAGAACGTCGGGCAGTTATGAGCCAGGCGTAAGGATCTTCACCTTCATCGTATGGGATGAGGATGAAAATCAGCTGACCAAATCAGGTAGGAACGTTCATCACGTACTTGCCCACAACTCACGTTTGTGTTCGTTAAAACAAAACAGACGGATGTAGCTACTGGTGAACATAAAATATTTTATTTTGAAAATAGTACATCCACGGTCAACTTTATGATATTGATACTGATATTTATGCAAGAACCTGTGACATTGCTTTGTTTCATATACGACACGAACACCATTGGTACAAGTGCTTTAGTTTTGTACATATAACTGTATGACTATCCCGCCAATCATATTATATGTATATATATATATATATTACCTTTTATTGACGCTTCGGTAACTACGGAGGCCTGTTTCAAAGCATAGATCAATGACAATATACTTTATATTTATATGTTAAGAGATATATGATATATAATATAATATATAATAATAATTATAATAATAATAACTTATTTGCCTAAAGTACAGATTTCTATTACTGTTGCCAGAATAGGAGCAGCAATGACAAGTTAAAGCAGTGCTACGAAAAAGAAACCTTGTAAGAGGCAATATTCTTTTGTTACATTTGTCATCAGGGTCACTGGCGAAACAACTTATGAGCCGTGAAATGACACTGGTTATTTGTTTGTTAAAAATGAAAGTTAAAAAAAATGAATTGAAGCTAAAGCTATCCGTAAAGTATAAAAGAGTTAAAACAAAAAAGAAGGTTAAAAGTATTAAACCACAAGAAATAGTATATTCACAAATCATTGAGATGCTCACATTAAAAATGTATTAAAACTTGCCAACAATAAAGTTATGTCTATCGTAAATATCACAAAATATAGTAAAAGCAAAGTTAATATAAAAAGGGCACTACAAATATACGATAATCATCACATTGACACAGCCTGGTGACTACATCTGCCCTTTACATAGAGTCTTGTACAACGAATTGCCATCTATATACTCATGGATTTTTTTTCTAGGGATGGTTGTTAACCACAATGAAATTCTTGTCCAATATTTTGTATAGTTTTGTAAGCTACGGGAATTTAAATGTACAGCTTGGGACATAGATAAACCCATGAGCGTTGTAATAGTGTTTTTTTTCTGGATTGGGTAATGTTTGGTGCAGAGTCGCTTTCTGGCAGGTGTCACATTTATGGATCATTTTTTCATGATACGTATTATTTTTAACGTCATACACCATGGAATTATAGATAAAAATCTGTTTTATGTCCATCATTCCGGTCTCATGATATAGTTCGTCAGACGGATGAGTTTTTTTTTACTAAAAATATTCAATATTGTTTTTTAGTGCATCTCTGTTTGAAGCTTCATAAAGGATAAGAGCATCGTCTGCGAATCCTAGCACTGTACCCCCGAATCTAATGAGAATAAATCGTTTATGTAGATGTTGAATAAAATGTGTCCTAATACAGTTCCCTGCAGTATATCACAACTGATATTTTGATAATCACTTGTGTTCCAGGTGACAAGCAGTCCATTTGGTTTTTCGTTGCTATTAAAAAACTTCCCTCACCATAACAACTACAGAATAGGTTCAGAGTGCTGCATTAGTTTTGTAGATGCTACTGTGACCTTTATAATAAATTTGCGTATACCAGAATTCAATGTTTCGATCTATGTTCGAGAAATGTAGTGTGAACTATCAAATTCAAACAAATATATGTATTTTGTATCAAGAAGGCGTATCGTTGATGTACCTATGTGGATATAAACTTTTTTTCTACATTTGCATTTCATTTTACATTTGCAACATGCAGAATCCGCCTTTTATTATTTCTATCAACATTGTATAGCACCCTGTATTACACCAGTCTTTGGCGGCAGAGCTATTTCACTAAGAAACAGCATCTGCAATCTGTTATACTACAGCTCATTAGCTTTTCATTCATCTATATAGGCAACTGTTTATTTTGAAAATGAAGTCTATTCCAGTGAATATGCCCAATTAAACTTCATTCGCCGCATTTGCGAACTTTGTAAGTTCAAATATTTCTTAATTATTGTTTCAACTTGAAACACCGAACACCGCAATTGAGTTTGTTTGTGTAAAATCAGTTATAAAGCTAATATGCGATGTTGTTTAGTTTTTGTGATTCGGAAAGGTTTGTTTAACGGTCATATTTCAATATAATTCAGTCTAGGAAGATCTACCAGAATTAATTACCTTAACGCTCATTAAACTGTTTATAATTAGACAAAGTCGTTATGGTCTACGAAAATCGATTTCTCATTTTTCAATATTAAGTGAGTTGTAAAAATAATCAAAGCGACTGGATTTATTTTAGTTTCCATCTCGAGGATGGTAGGGCTGGGGTTACAAGGGTTCGAATAGTGTAAATTGCTGATACCAAAAACGTATAATTTCCCCGACTCGCTAAAACCGACAACATACAAACATTTTTCTGAAAACGATCAGGGTCCCCTGAAACGTAAAAAAACAAGTTTGAGCGATTTAATTTTTTTTTTTTCGTTTTCGCCTATAGCTCCTCCACCACTGGACCAATTTGCAAAAACTGTCATTGACATAATGATCACCTTATGTGAAAATTTAATCAAGATATGAGGGGTACTTATCAACCTATAGCGGCGAGACAGACCGACAGAAAAATAGACCGAATGAAATAAGTGAGATGGTTCTTCGTGATGTACGAGATTTGTTCAAAAAGTATCGCAAATTTTGAACTTTCGCGGGCTACGTATGTTCGATTTTCGATCTTTTTGTGGCGTTATGTTGGTACTCTAGACCCTTACTAATATTGATAATATCGGCCATTATGAATGTCTAGTCAGTTTTTGACAGCGACACCGATTTTTGTCTATTCCAAAAAGTGGATCAAAGAATTTGTAAGGTACCTGTACCAAATAAGGCCACATTAGTGTTTGAATAGCTGTAACTGCGTAAATATTTGCGAAACGACCTTGAAATTTTAAAGGTATTATTG